CCATTGTTCACGCATTGAAGATTTGGAGGCATTATTTGTATGGCGTGGCGTGTGAGGTGTTCACTGATCACAAGAGTCTTCAGTACCTGTTCAAGCAAAAGGAGTTGAATTTGAGGCAGAGGAGGTGGTTGGAGTTGTTGAAGGATTATGAAGTCATCATCCTTTATCATCCGGGGAAGGCCAATGTAGTGGCCGATGCTTTGAGTAGGAAGTCAGCCAGTATGGGCAGTCTCGCTTATATTCCTGTCAGCCAGAGGCCGCTTGCTTTAGATGTTCAGGCTTTAGCCAATCAGTTTGTGAGAGTGGACGTTTCTGAGCCGAGTCGTGTGTTAGCTTGCACGGTCGCTGGTTCTTCATTATTGGAGCGTATTCGTGATCGGCAGTTTGATGATCCCCATTTGTGTGTCCTTGGAGACACGGTGCAGCGAGGAGGTGCCAAGCAGGTTACCTTAGATGCAGATGGAGTTTTGAGATTGCAGGGGCGAGTTTGTGTGCCCAATGTGGATGGGCTTCGAGAGTTGATTTTAGAGGAGGCCCATAGTTCCAGGTACTCTATTCATCCGGGCGCCGCGAAGATGTATCAGGATTTGCGGCAGCATTATTGGTGGCGTAGAATGAAGAAGGATATCGTAGCATACGTGGCTCGTTGTTTGAATTGTCAGCAGGTTAAGTACGAGCATCAGAGGCCTGTTGGTTTATTTCAGAGGATTGAGCTTCTCGAGTGGAAGTGGGAGCGGATTACTATGAATTTTGTTACTGGACTTTCGCTGACTCGGAAGAAGTTTGATGCGATATGGGTTATTATTGATAGGATGACCAAGTCAGCACATTTCATTCCTGTGGTAGTCTCCTAATCTTCTGAGAGGTTCGCTGAGATCTATATTCGGAAGATTGTTCGCCTTCATGGTGTTCCCGTGTCTATCATTTCGGATCGGGGCACGCAGTTTACCTCGCGGTGCAGCGAGAGTTGGGCACACGGGTAGATTTGAGCACATCATTTCACCCCCATACGGACGGTCAGTCCGAGCAGACTATTCAGATCCTAGAGGATATGCTTCGAGCTTGTGTTATCGACTTTGGAGGTTCGTGGGATCAGTTCTTGCCTTTAGCGGAGTTTGCCAACAATAACAGCTACCAGTCGAGCATTTAGATGGCTCCTTATGAGGCTTTATATGGTATGCGGTGTCGGTCTCCGGTTGGATGGTTTCAGCCGGAGAGGCTCGGTTGTTGGGTACAGATTTGGTTCGGGAGGCCTTGGACAAGGTCAAGATCATTCAGGATAGGCTTCGTTCAGCCCAGTCTAGGAAAAAGAGTTATGCAGACCGCAAGGTTCGAGATGTGGCATTTATGGTTGGTGAGCGGGTATTGCTCCGAGTGTCGCCTATGAAAGGCGTGATGACGTTTGGGAAGAAGGGCAAGCTTAGCCCAAGGTTCATTGGTCCGTTTGAGATTCTTGATCGAGTAGGAGAGGTGGCTTATAGACTTGCATTGCCGCCTAGCTTATCAGCCGTGCATCCAGTTTTTCATGTATCCATGCTTCGGAGGTATCACGGCGATCCACCCCACGTGTTAGATTTCAGCACTGTCCAGTTGGACAAGGATTTGTCTTATGAGGAGGAGCCGGTAGCTATTCTAGACCGGCCGATTCGTCAGTTGAGATCCAAGAGTTTTCCTTCTGTTCATGTTCAATGGAGAGGTCAGCCCCATGAGGCATCGACCTGGGAGTCCGAGTCTGATATGCGAAGTCGTTATCCTCATCTTTTCCCCAACTCAGGTACTTCTTTCTTTTGTCCGTTCGAGGACGAACGGTTATGTTAGAGGTGGAGAATGTGACGACCCAAAGGGTCATCACTTATTTCCTTACTCATTCTGTGCTTCCGAGGCCTTGAAAACCTTATTTGGGGTTGCCTCGATTTGCGTGCGCAGTCCGAGCGCGTAGCCGGAAAGCTTAAATATGAATTCTATGAGAAAAATGCTAAATTTTGATATTAAATTGAATAAATTTGACTTCGGTCAACATTTTGGGTAAACGGACCCGGACCCGTGATTTGACGGTCCCGGAGGGTCCGTAGGAAAATATGGGACTTGGGCGTATGCCCGGAAATCGAATTCCGAGGTCCCAAGCCCGAGAAATGAATTTTTGTGTGAAATTGTTTTCTGGAAATAATTAAGGAAATTGAAAATGAAATTTGATTAAAAGACTATGGTATCGGGCCCGTATTTTGGTTCCGGCACCCGGTACAAGTCTTATATATGGTTTAAGCGCTTTCTGTAAAGTTTGGTTGAAAACGGACGTCGTTTGACGTGTTTCGGACTTAAAATGGGAATTTGATGTTTTATGAAAATTTGGAAGAAATCATGAGTTTTGAGGCTTGATTCGATGTATATAATGTTATTTTGGCGATTTGATCGCACGGATAAGTCCGTAGGATGTTTTTGAGGTTGTGTGCATATTTGGTTTGGAGCTCCGAGAGCTCGGGCGAGTTTTGGATAGGTGTCGGAGTGCATTTTGAACTTAGAGAAAATCTGGTGCATCAGACCTGCAATTTTCGCATTTGCGAAGCAGGCCTCGCAAATGCGAGCCTAGCATCGCAAATGCGAGGAAGGGAATAGTTTATCTGGGTCGCAAATGCGGACAACTTGTTCGCAAATGCGAAGTGTGAGCCAGTCGCAAATGCGACCATCAAGCTCGCAAATGCGATGTCTGGGCCATCGCAAATGCGACATAAGTGTCGCAAATGCGAAGACCCTGTTTTTGCCTAGTGTTCGCAAATGCGAACATGACTTCGCATTTCCCATATTTGGTCGGGGTTCGCAATTGCGAACCCCAGTTCGCAATTCCCATAACTGAGGCTCAGCAAATTTTATACTTAGTCGAATTTTCACCATTTTTCATCATTCTTTCAAAACCCAAACTCCTTAGGCGATTTTTCAAGAACAAGTTTCATTCCAAATCATTTGTATGTCGATTTTTACTCAATTCTTTCAATCATTAACATCATTTAACATGTTTTTCACTTAAAATCAAAGATTTTCATGGGTGAAATTGGGGGTTTTGGGTAGAACCTAGGTTTTTCTAAAAATTGGGGATTTGGACCTTAATTTGAGGTCCGATTTCAAAACAAATTACATATTTGAGTTCGTGGGGGAATGGGTAACCGGATTTTGGTTCGAACCTCGGGTTTTGACCACGTGGGCCCGGGGGTGATTTTGGAATTTTTGGGAAAAACTTTGGGAAATTCATTTTTATGCATTCAAATTGATTCATTTAGTGTTTATTAAAGTAATAAAGTGACTTGTGACTAGATTCGAGCGGATTGGAGGTGGAATCACGGGGTAAAGCTATAGTTGAGGCTTGAGTTGAGTTCAAAGCATCGAGGTAAGTGTTTGGTTTAACCCTAGCTTGAGGGAATAGGAGTTGCGTCTTATTTGCTACTTGCTAATTGTCGAGTACGATGTATAGGCATGGTGACGAGTATCTATACATTGGTGTCTAGCATGACCGTGAGTCGTTATTTGCGAATAGTTGTGATTTTGTTATATCTTCCATGCTTAATTGATGACTTCTATGTGTTGTAAAGATCTTGTGAAAGAAATTGTGACCTTTGAACTTCGTGGAGCGTTGGCTCGAGTTGAAATACAAATTATGAAGGTATATGAGACAAGTAAATCTTTGGAGCATTGGCTCGAGTGATAATGTGAACTATGAGATGAAAGTGAACGAAAGAGAAAGAGTTAATGATTTGTTCCCTTGCCGGGACGTTGTTGATTATTGAATATTTTCCTTGCCGGGACGTTGAGATTATTGATGTTGTACCCTTGCCGGGTTTTTAATTGTTTGTTTGTGTACCCTTGCCGGGATGTTCATTATAGTTTTATTATTCCTTTGCCCTTGTTTGTGATTGTTGATTGGGTGAGGAAGAGTGTTAAAGCACGAAGGGTGATGCCGTGCATTGTTTGTTTCTTGTGAGGAAAGAGTGTAAAGCACGAAGGGTGATGTCGTGCATTGTTTTCTTATTATGAGAAAAGAGTGTTAAAGCACGAAGGGTGATATCGTGCCGCACGATGTACCATTCCCTGCCGATTCTATTGATATATGTGAGGAATGAGAGTAAAAGCACGAAGGGTGATGTCGTGCACATGTTATTTCTTGGCGAGTATGAGAGTAAAAGCACAAAAGGTGATGCCGTGCACTTGTTGATTTCTGTTTCATTACATACTATTGAGTTGTATTGTTTTCCTTCGTTACTGGACGACTCTTATTTGGAAATTATTATAGTCCCCACAGCATGCTCCCCCTCCCATATTGTTTATCTGTTTTGTATTTCGATTCCGCTGTAGATATATGAGATTGCACAGGTTTATGTGGTAGTCTGGTCTAGCCTTGTCACTACTTCGCCGGGGTTAGGCTAGACACTTGCTAGCACATGGGGTCGGTTGTGCTGATACTACACTCTGTGCTATTTTGCACAGATCCAGGTTTTGGACAGCAGTAGCAGCAGTAGAGTGGGAGAAGGCCTTCAGTCCAGAGAGACCCGAGGTAGCCTTGCAGGCATCCGCAGGCCCGGCGTCTCCCCTATCCTTTATTCTGTCTGTTATCTCATTGTATTCGAGACACCAGTCTTGGATAGAGGCTTATATTGACTTTTTCCGCATTCTATTCAGTTTTATATAAAATAAAGACTTCCGCTTATTATTTAATTTCGTTGTTTTTGGTATTATTGCCGATAATTGTTAAAAAGGGATTATGTTGTAATGAAAGTAATAAACTTGGCTGGCCTAACTCTCATTAGTAAGCGCCATTACGACTCCCGAGGGCGGGAAATTCGGATCGTTGCCTCCTCTTCTTCCTTTTATTTATTTTTATCTTTTCCTTATCAATATTCCTAGTAATCTGCAATTGTTTTATCGTACAACTTGTGGAATAATTTTCTATATATTAGAAGAGCAAGACATATCTGCTTAGTGCCTTTTTTAAAAAGCTTGAGGATAATTCAGTCATTTAGCATCAGCTCTATACGCGGCCTATTTTTCCTTCAACAGATACTACGTGTAACTTCCTTGGTTTCTTTCTCAGTCACCGCATCCTTTTCTGCTCTCAAGATCTCAAGATCTGTTTGTGTTCTTGCTGCAATTAATTTTGGACATATCTTCTTCTTTTTCCTTAATTCTTTTCTTTTTGATTTCTCTCCATCCTTTTTAGTTTTGCTATTCAATGGCTGTAGAATCCATTCATCTTCAACCTCAAATTTCATGTTTTGTATCTCGCTTAATCTCTCTTTTTTCCCTTTTACCAGAAGCTTAATAGTTTCCCATTGTTGATCTTCTCTTTTTTAGAGCCTAAATGCTTCTCTATCTCAGCCCGATAGTGACCCTGATCTGGTTGATAAGCCTACTTAAGAAGAAGAAAATTTTGGGTATAGCCTCACATTGCTTAATAAAGTATGGAGTTTTGTATCTTCTCCGGTTCTCTTCCAATGTTCCTTTTCTTCAATTTCATCTCCTCTCTTTTTTTGCTCTTTCATGGTTCTGTCACGGTAAACTACTGCTGATTTTGTTTATCTCTGTCTGAATAACAGGAACGAGATTCGAGTTTTTGCACCATCTGCAGAAAGGCTTCAATTGTTGGGTTTTAGCTCAGCTCTATCTTGCATTTAGTTTGATTTGCAGGTAACAAATTACTCATATTTGTAGCATTCATAGTAAGCTCGATAAAGAAATGCTCCTCCTACGTTGAAGCTTTAGTTTTGGGCAAGGTAACAATTGTTAGTTTTCTGGAGCATTCTTTTTCTCATTCTTTCGCTCTTTTATTATTTTTTATTTGACTTCCGTTGGTCTGACTTTCTGGGAAAATGTTTTGTTGATGGATTTGAGCAAGGTAAGATTATCCTTCTATGCCCTCCCTGTTCTTTGAAAGACTCGGACTGGTTACTTTTCTTTTTATCATTTTTTTCATTTGATGGTGGGAGGTGGGGTATTTTCACTTTAGCTTTGTGGTTGATTTGGTAACGAGAAGATAAAAAGCATATAGATTATTGTTGAGTGTATAAAGTTGTGTACTATCACTTTGTGTTACTCTTATATTTTATGGCAGCTTTAGTTTCGATGTGTGTGCTTCACGTCAATAAATTTCAAAACAAGGGCATATTATTCATTATATCTACAAGGAGATACACCGCATTTATTTCTACAGCCACCACCATAGTTCAGTAGCTCTTACTCTTCTTTCTTTCGATTTTCTTCAACCTTCTCAATAATACTTTTCCAAGTTCACTGGTTTGCTCCTATTCCAAAGTTTGACAAAGTGTTGTTCTTTTCCTCTTGATTTGTATGCATGATATTTTTTTTCCCCTCATTGTATAATATTGTTCCATCTATCTTAAAGTGTTTGTTTTTTTAATCTGATCTGACTTTTTGGGTTTAGGGCATCAAGGAGAAGAGTGTAGGGCAGCAAGAAAGAGACAACTTGGAGCTCTTCATCAGAAACAAAGGTGAACTTTCTCTCTTCTCTTTGTTTCCTACATGTTCTGTGTCTACCTCTTTTTCACCTCAAAAGTTTCCCTTCTCTCTGTTTAATTTAGATTGTGGATTGTAGATATCTATGTTGATTCAGCAGATTTAACTTGGTCAGAATCTTTGGTTGACTGTGCTACGTCAATTTCATCAGAAAATTCTAAATATCCAAACGCTAATTTCAAAATTCGACGTAGCGCTATGAACTTTTAGAAAATAGAGGATGGATTATGTACTTAGATATAGATATGATTTATTAGTACATATAATTTTCTCACTATTAGATTTGGTTGCGGTAGCTAAGTTCAGAGAATAGAAAAGGGCTGCTGAAACAACGAATACAAATGATCAAACCATGGGAAAAGTACATGCTGACAAAAAGGCTAGGCGACGGAAAATTATATAGAGTGATGGAAGCTGATTAAAAGAGGCTCTCTTAGTGAAAGTATGAGAAATCAAAGCTGAATCAAGCATACAACATCTTTCTGTCAGCTCAAATTATTACTAAATCAGCCAATGCATCTTCAAAGTTGTAATGTTGTTCTCATTCTGAGCAATTTAGGTAGATTTGTGTTATTAAACTAACTGTATCTCCAGAGTTGGTTTAGGCTTAAAAGAACAAACTTGATTAAAAGCTTGCAGAATTTGCTAGGCACCAAGTTCTTTGAGAAATTTATGCAGTATAAGTATTCTACAATAATCATTACTTTATTTGCCAGATTGTGTGAGAGAATGATGAGAATAGAGGAAAATCATGTATTATGAAATAGATTTAACATCACCTGAACATTTAGTTTGAACTTGTGCATCAAAGCTTGGACCAATGCTTGCTGAAATCTTATCAATTTGGGCTCCTCACAATTATTCATAAAAAATTCTATCCAAACTTTTTACCCGGGCATTAAATGAAATGTTCTCATGTTTAATACCTCATCTGTGTTTTTATTCTGAACATTTGATTTGGTTATGATTATAATTATCAAGGAAGACAATATTACTTGTATCATAATGAATTTGATTATCATTATACGTTAAATAGTGGGTAGCAATATAATTGGATTTAAATTACATTTGATATATGAAGCTCATGTATACTTGGCAATATGGCTGGTCAGTTCAACATGTGGACATGTTTCTTTATATGGTGAGAGCACGAATATCTTTTTAAAGAGGTATGTCAGTTACAAGCATAATCTCCAATAATTTCTTGAGATTTTCCCAAGCAGGGTCCGAAGTATCGGTCTTATTGGGTATTGATGTCGTCCTCTATAACTATGATTAGCAACCTATTTGGCAGCTTAAGAGACTGGTTTGAGCCTTGAAAGTTTTTTCACTAAAATTGAGTTTACTTTAGTCTTAATTTATCTCAGATAAGATGTTGCATATACATTCTCAACAACTCACACATTCTCTTTGAACCTCAAAGACACCTTATGGTGAAAGGTATGCAATTGAGCCACTTCTTGCTGCTATTTCTGAATGCGATTGAATCTACTTCTGCTTTCTAGATGTTGCTGCTATCATATTTCGCTGTTATGATATAAGTTTAGTTCAACTGGTTACGAATCTAACTCTGCATTACTTTTAACTTCTAAGCTCCACCTGCGGGGTTACTGTCTTACTGTTTGTTTGTTTAGGATACCACATTTTTTCGATTTCTTTTGCCTAACAGATTTTGAAAGTAGATTTGGCTACTTAATTTTTGTGTTAAAGTTCACAAAAAGTACCAACAAAAAGAATAAGGAAAAAACAATAGCTTGAACTATTGTGATAGTTTTTCTTCAAGTAGGACAATTACAAACTAGAGTTCTAGGAAACAGTGAGAAGACTTCTTATGTGTGAGGATATTTAGTTCTAAAAATAGCTCTGTACAGTATCTACCGGTTGAAACAATGAACAAAAGCTTCAACTTTCTTGACAAGAAAATACAAGAAGCAACTCTAAAATCATATGCTAAGTTGAACAGTATACTAAATGCAAAACCTTAAGTTTAGACAAACAATTGACTTCATTCAAGATTTGACAACATGGATTACTAAAAGAGCTGATTTAGTTTAGTTATAAATTTCGCAAAGGTTCGCGTAGTAATACTTGGCATGCTCTGCTGTGCATTAATCTTTAGAATTACTAAGCCAATTGGTAGTTGAGACGCTCCAACATAGAGTTTAGCGATCATTTTGCCGGGTAGGCTGAGTTTTCTATATTTCTGTATTGTACTTATTTTTATTATTTATCACTGATGATGTGCGTTGGTGCGAATGAATTCTATAGTGATACTTATACTTTGCTTATTAAATTTAAGAAGAACAAGTATGATATTTGTATAGAGCCACAGAGTCATGTATTTAACACGATCTCCTACAATTTCTCCTTTAAATCTTGCTGCTGTCATATTTTATTAGATACATTCATGAACTTCAGTTATTGTGATTACTTTATTTTGATCACCTATCACGGAGTGGGACGTTGTTGAACCATTTTGTATGCCTATGGAGGTCTATGTAAGAAAATTTAGCAGATCAAGGATGTAGTTTTATTTTGCACCTATACTTACCGTCTAAAACCTCTATTATGACAGCATATTTTTGTTCAATGCGAGCTCTTTTTGCATTTGAATGTCTTCTCTTTTCTCCAACCTTGACAACTTCACTAAGGCAAAGTATCGGCTCTCGACTTGAATGAACAGTGTTAATAAACAAAAACTTAGATTTATAGGAAATGTGTGATAATAGCTTTTCCAGTCTCCTAGTGGGTATATATCAAAAATCTTAACAGTTTTCATTCTTACGGGTAAGTTTTCATATATTGCAACACTTTTAAGTCATACAACAACCTCTCTTGATTATTACTTTCTTATCATACCTACTTCTCTTAAGCCTTTATATACCTCTTTCTTTAGTGTTTCTAAGTCCTATGTAATTGGAATGCTATTTTTTTTGATATCTTTTTTTGTCGTTGTTTACTGAAAAATCGTTATTTAGATTATTAGTGAACAATTGATGTGGAAGTAAGGATTATTGGTAGAATTGCTTTTAAATTTCTGTTTTTACCTAGGGTTTTTATATTTTTATTGTGTCTACAGGTTTATGCTTTTCTATATACTCATTTCAGCCATAATATCACGGTGTTCAAAATTCCATATTATAATACTACAAAGTTTCTCTCTGGAATTGCCTCTTATCCCCTACTTCTTTATGGGAAAATTGGAAGAGTAAAAAGAAATAGTGTGAAGGGGGAAAAAAGGCTAGAAGCATCGTTTTTCTAAGTTCGCTTAAGTTATATTTCCTAGATATATCAGTTATAAAGTAGTATCAATCATATAATCAAAACTGACAACAACTATTTTTCTATACAGTTTTTGCCTGCTAAAGAGGCTTGTGTGAGAATAACCTTCAAAAGAAAGGTACCCAACATTGCAACAAATGTCCTCTCTGTAGAGATCATTACAAAGGTACTGACCACCTCTCTCTACCCTACAGAACACATTAACGCTTTGATATTGTTTCTCAGCATCGAAATTAGTTTTGGTCATATCTTAACAACTCTTGAATTGTTTTCATGGATGATACCATTATGGAGGTTTGCTTTCAGCTACCTCTTTTTCTGTGTTTGGCATCTTTATGAGTGAAACATATCTCATTGGAATTGAGGGAGGTTTCTGGATCGCTTATCATTGTTGAAACATGATATAACATGTATGAAAAGGTAGGTATCATATAACTTTCTATGTAAACTGAGTCATTAACGGCTTTTACTAGATATAATAGTTAATATAAGATATAGAGTACTCTGGTTTAAGATTGCATTGTGACACATGGTGTAGCTTCCGCACCAAGTTAGCCCTAAAAGTGGGGATGGTACATGGGACTTGATTAGTTCTCAGAATTTTGTATAGTAGAAAAAGGATGAAAAATCCGAATGGTGTGATTTTCCTTTTAAATTATGTGCAAGATTTTAACATCAAATTCGCGGTTTGTGGTCTTATAAAGACAAACTTTTAACACTTCCATCCCTATCTTCATACATGATCCTTGTAACTTCTTGGACCAACAAAAAAACTAGAGAAGTCCCGGGGTTGAATTTATGACATAGCTTCTTGTTTTTTATAGTAGCTGTCTATTTCGAACACTGAAAACTTGATAAGTGATATTTTTCATTTAAGGTTCAGTTAGTAACTTAGTATTGACAAGTTTACTTTGCATTTCTATTACATATAAGGAAAGACATGCTACTTTATCGAAGTTGCTATATGTTGAAATATATTAGTACCTTTTTTTTTGTTGGTTTATGCTGGCTAGAAAAAGACTTTATAGGTTCTTTTATACTTAGCAACCTTAGCAGGAACCGCATAGAGACTATCATTTTGCTCTACTACTTTCAAGTTCCTGTGGATTTGCTCATGGGATGCGCCATCACACACTATCGTTTTGGTATAGTTCATTTTTTGTGTTGCAGCAGCAACACCATCAAGTCTTCTACCAAGTAAAGAAGGTGGTCCAGGTGTTACTAAATTAATCAGTATAGGCAATATCAACCTACAAGACAAGGCAATCTAATAACAAACTATTGAGAAACAGCAGAGTTCGACGGAATGCGTAACATGATAGTCTTCCATTAAGTAGCAAGCTAAAAAAGACGCAGTAAATGAGGCTCTTGATTGGTTGTTGAAAGGCATCGTTCTTATGTCCTTTTTCACATATTGTAATTTAAAAAATGAAATTATGCTCATGTTGTATGGAAAACTCTTTTGATTCTATTTAGATTTGTTTACTGTCATTGCTGCAATTGAAAAAGAAAAGGCTAAATATCTAATATATTGCACGGGCTATCCCTACCTAGTTTTGACATAAATGAATGCCTACAGATAGCTAAAAGACTTTAGTTTTCCAATTTATTTCTTGGGTTTTCTGTAAGTTGTTTCTAACGACATTAGGAACATAATAAAACATAGCAAGATTACTAAATATTTTTTATGTTAATATTTCATGTGAAAAACACATAGTAGTTAACTATAGTTAAATACAAATAAATATAGTTAATTAAATGACGTGTGACATTTATTTGTTGGTTGGGTATAAATATTCAGCGCGAATAAATTTTTACCAATCTAGCTAACCTTACGTACATTCGAGATGAGGTAGCATGAATATTTATGAGATTGCACCCTCTATCATTATATTTGGCACTGGCAGCATACATCCAATTGATTAACATATATATCATCATAATCGTATTCCAATTATATCACTTTTCCAGAAATATCTCGTTCATATTCCCTTAGTTCTTTTTCTTTTTTTCCTTTCTGCAGTTGTTAATCTCAAAAAGGGAAAATGAAAAGGGAGTTTTATACATTCACCCACAAAAACTAAATTAATTATCCTTACCTATCCATTAGTTTTTCTAACCACCAAATTAATTATTTTTCCTACATATTGTAGCTTTTGTGAATAATATTATTAGTGAAAGGAGATAGGGGAATCGTGATTGTGGTTATGCTTTTATAGAGTTAAATGGAAAGTCATAAAAGGCTATTGTTAAACCGTGAGATTAAATTGTGTCCATAATCTATTATTGATACATTACATAAAGAGGAGGGAAGCGAGAACCTGAGAAAGCCAACAAGAGATGGAGTCGTAGGCTGCCTATAAACGTTAAGTATCAAGAAGAGAGAACAAATTATTTATACTTCTAATACAATAAATAACATCTCCATGGAGTTCCATCTAAGACCTCTTTTAAGAAGAAGAAAAATTGTAAAAATATGAGAATTTTATTAAAATATTTAAAAAGGATCCAGTAAAAAAAATTTAAAAATTAAAAACTGACCCAATTATAACATCATATTATATATTACAACAATATATTATTGTAGTAAACTATATACTATTGAATTATATAATATATACCAAAATAGCATACAATAGTGATATTTTATGTTCTTCATTCAATATTATACTATTATGGTATATTGTATACTATTACAACATACTGTTGCAGTATATTGCACATTATTATAATATACTGTTACAGTATATTATCTACTATAATAGTATACAGTTGCATTATAGCTATATACTCCTATAGTATATTGTATACTGTTAGGTAACTGTGTTCTTCTTCGATTATTACAGTATACCGTTGCAGTATATTGTATACTATTATAGTATATTATTACAATATTGCTATATACACCTACAACATATTGTATACCATAGCAATATACTATTAGGTAATTGTGTTTTTCTTAAATTTTCAACTGAAAGATTCGATCTCAATCACCTCAAATCAACTTCAAATATGCCAAATTTCAGTATGAACTTCCAGAAGGTACTTTAAACAATATTTAATAACACCCACTTTGAATCAAACAAGAAATCTTCAAAAATAAAAATTGAGCTTCAAGCCAACAATGGTGGATATTCAAACACAAAAAAATGTAGCTGGTAAGACTATAAGCAATATTTTATAGCACCCCATCGAATCAAACAATAAATCTTCAAAATAAATTCTTAAATTTAGCAGCTTCAAGCTCAAGAATGTTGGATCTTCACACACAAAAAAAAAACCATAAGGAGAGGACATAAGCAATAGCTTGGATTGACCCTCTTAACGAAGATCGATATGGCAGAGGAGAAGTAGATCCATTCAAGTGCATGTTAAGACCCGGATTGCCCACCATCGGGACCGTGATGACGCCTAACATCGCACTCGCTAGCAAGCCAACGCTAGAGTTCCATTAACCTTTTTCCTTTACATTTCATAGATTGAAATTTAACAAACTAAATCAAGTAGAAATAAATGTGAAAATACATAAATAACCTTTTGTCTATTCACAATACCGTAGCTACTACTACTACTACCCAGAGTCTGGTGTCACAATCCACGAACATAATACGAATTACTACATATATTGGTCTGAAAGAAATTACATCTATTTTGGAAGTAAAGAAAAATAGGAGTATAGAGATGTAGAAGGGGACGTCGGAGCCTGCGGACGCCAGTAGGACTACCTTGGGTCTCCTAGATGAAATGCCTGCAATCAACCTCTCGATCAGCCACTACCAGCTCCAAAATTTGCGCAGAAAGCTGAGTGCAGTATCAGTAAAACTCACCCCATGTACTTTAAGCGCCGAGCCTAACCTAGACGAGGTAGTGACGAGGGTACGGCGGGGCAATTACAATATAACCTGCAAACAGTATATAATAAAGCGAAAAAAGAAGTACGGAATAAAATGAAACAGTAACTTGCAGCAAAATGAACACGGAACTCCAATATCTTATCAGTACCCAGCTATAACCAATTCTTAGGTGAGATACAAAACTACAGAATAAATTCACAGAAGAAGGATACATAAACAACAAGCTGATGCGGCGCGCATCCCAATCCACAATATAATCAGTAACAATATGACCATTCACCCTTATTACTCTGTATCAATCCACCCTTATTCCTCCTATTGCGGCGTGCAACCCGATCCCACCGTACAATAACAATCCACCCTTATTACTCCTCAATATATCACCCTTATTCGGCGCGCAACCCGATCCCACCAGATAAATACATTTCACCCTTATTCCTCCTCAATATATCACCCTTAGTCCTCATGTTGCGGCGTACAACCCGATCCCAGCATATCAGTACCAATCACACTATAAGAACAGGAATTTCACAATTTAGCTCAAAACCCTCCACAATATTTAAGCCTCAAACCAAAGCAAACAGAAGGCTATACAATGATGAAACTTCACTCAAGTAGTACTACACAGCGAGACCAACCAAAGTATACCAGGAAACACCGATAAACCAACTTAGACCAATAATGTAATACAATGAAACTACGGAATAGTTAATACCTTCAATAAAGAAAACAACATCTAACAAGAAGCAATTAAACATGGAAACACCATTAAGCATGTCGCAGTTAAGACAGGAAGATAATATATTAAGAACGGGGAAGGAAACAGGCTAAACAGATAATTTGGCGGTGCATAGGTACTCGTCACTTCACCTATACGCCACAAATATGAAATTTCACATAGCAAATAAGTCGGGGTTCCCTAATCCCTCAAGTCAAAGTTAGACACAACATTTACCTCAATCCAACGACCAACTCAACGCTCAATTACCACTTTTCCTCTAGTTTCCACCTCTAAACCACTCGTATCTAGTCATCATTAACTTAACAACATCAATTATTGCCAAAGAAATAAATTGCAATATATAATTATAAGTTTCCCAATATTTTCCCCAAAAATTCAAAAATCGACCCCCGGCCCGCTTGGTCAAAACCCGAAATTCGGACCCAAATCCGATTATCCATTCACCCCCGAGCCCGGATATACAATTGGTTTTGGAATCCGACCTCAATTTGATGTCTAAATCCCTAAATTTTGAAATTTCTAAGTTCTACCTAAAAATCTCCAATTCCACCATGCAAAATCCTAGATTCTAGGTTAAAATCTTGTTAAAAGAAGTGAAAGATTTAAAGAAATGAGTTAAGATTCACTTACCTGTGATTTGGGGAAGAAATGATCTTCGGAAAATCGCCTCTTGAGGTTTAGGTTTTGAAAAATAGGAGAATGAATGAAAAATCCAATCCAAAATCGTTTTTACCAGTTGCAGGTATCGCATTTGCAATCACGGGTTCGCAAATGTGAACCCCGCAAATGCGAAAAATGTCCTAGGCCTGCTACCATTGCAAATGGGAACAATTGTTCGCAAAAGTGGCATGTGCTTATCGCAATCGCGATCCTGAGCTTCGCAATTGCGAAGGTCCCCTCCCAGCCCTGCTCGCAAATGCGAAACTTCTTCGCAAATGCGAGGCTCGCATTTGCAAGCCAGACTTTGCAAATGCGAAGTCTGCAGACCTGAAGCATACCAGCAAAATTTCTTAAGTCCAAATCACTCCGTAGCCTATCCGAAACTCACCCGAGCCCTCGGGGCTCCAAACCAAACATGCACACAAGTCTTAAAATATCATACGAACTCGCTCGTGCGACCAAATCGCCAAAATAATATCTAAAATTACGGATTTAACACCAAATTGCATGAAATTTTTAAGAAAGTTTCAAAACTTCTATTTCCTCAACCAAAGGTCCGAATCATTCCAAGTCAGTTCCGTTTCTCAACAAATTTCACAGACAAGGTATAAATATCATACCGGACCTGTACCGAAATCCGAAACCAAAATACGAACTCGATACCAACTAGATCAAATATTAACCAAATTCTCAAAACCATTATAATTTTAGTCTTTCAATTTTAATCAAAAAATCATTTATCGGGCTAGGGACCTCGAAATTCGATTCCGGACATATGCCCAAGTCCCATATTTTACTACGGATCCACTGGGACTGTCAGAACACGGTTCCGGGTTCGTTTACCTAAAACGTTGACCGAAGTCAACAAAAATTATTATTTCATCAAGTTTCCACATAAAAGCTATCCGTAACACACCCGGACTGCACACGTAAATCGAGGAGAGATAAAATAAGGTTTTTAAGGCCTCAGAATACATATTCGAGTTCTAAAATATAAGATGACCTTTTGGGTCATCACATTCTCCACCTCTAAAACAACTGTTTATCCTCGAATGGACATAGAAAAGTATATGAGCTGGTGAAAAAATGGGGATATATGTTCCGCATATCGGACTCGGACTCCCAGGTAGCTTCCTCAACAAGCTGATCTCTCCACTGCACTCGAACCGAAGGATAACTCTTCGATCTCAACTAGCGAACCTGCCGGTCTAGAATAGCTACCGGCTCCTCCTCGT